GTCCGGAGTCCATTGTATGCATCATTATTTCCAGAGTAGGACCATGGACGTGGTACATTCCCAGACGTTTCGCCGGCATCGTCTGTGAGTCTCGCCATTCGTAGCACCATATTACAGCTCATCAAAAAGCATTCAATGGACTCCAGACAAGATGCGTTCCTCTAAGCCTTGTTTTTATAAGATTTACTGATAGTCAAGAAATATACTTCTCTCGAACATCATATCTGCTTTGTCTGGCTGTTGATTAAAAGTCTTTTTTTTTCATGTCTTCACCACTGAGCCATTTAGGGAAAATCGCGTAGCGAATGCATTAAATACATTTTGCTGACCTTGTTTGAACAACTAGTGATTTATATTACTATTGATTTTGCTCAACTTAGGTATCTTAACATTCATTACACTTTGAGTCGTCTAGCAATAGTCTGCTTTAATTGAATTTCATTCTCAAATTTTGTCTTTTGGATCACTCATGTCCGCTTCGCCAAGTCTATTTACTTATTTGCAATTAACAATTCCATTTAAGGTGAGACGCTTTTACCGTTCGGCAAAGATTTTAACTTTAAAATTTTCTCTCATTTAATTTCTTACGATTGTTCATTTTTTTTGCTCCACCAATTCAGAAAGCCTTATGATCTCTCCATTATTGTTTACATTTTCCGCTTAGATGGACAAAGGCAATATATTCTTAAGCGAGCACGACACGCGAGTTGCCGGTCTCTACGATCTACAACACACTATTGGGCGCGGTCATTTCGCTGTGGTCAAGCTCGCCCGTCATGTATTTACAGGAGAAAAAGTTGCTGTCAAAGTTATTGATAAGACAAAGCTTGATCCCTTATCTCGCGAACACCTTTTTCAAGAAGTAATGTGTATGAAGCTAGTTCAGCATCCCAATGTAGTCCGGCTTTACGAGGTCATTGACACTGGCACGAAGCTGTACTTGGTGTTAGAGCTCGGAGACGGTGGGGATCTCTATGACTTTATAATGCGACACGAAGATGGTGTTGGTGAACAAGTGGCAAAGCGATACTTTCGGCAGATTGTGACTGCAATCGCGTATTGTCACAGACTACATGTTGTCCATCGTGATTTGAAGCCCGAAAATGTAGTCTTCTTTGAGAAACTTGGCCTGGTCAAGTTGACAGATTTCGGATTTAGCAACAAGTTTATTCCCGGTAGGCATTTAGATACCGCATGTGGTTCTTTGGCCTACTCGGCACCGGAGATTTTGCTGGGTGATTCCTATGATGCACCAAAAGTCGACATATGGTCTTTGGGTGTGATTCTATTTATGCTAGTATGTGGACGACTGCCGTTTCAAGAGGCCAACGACAGCGAGACATTAACCAAGATAATGGATTGTGACTACGTGCTACC